ACATACAACTAAACGCTCATACAAACAAACAAACAAACAAACAAACAAACAAACAAAAAAACAAACAAACAAACACAAGTGTACAACGAAATAATTACGCTTCTACAAATATATAATGAACTTATTTTAAACTCTTTCCTTGCTGGCCAAGTCGGAGCTCTGGTTTTAGAAATTAATTTACAACCTTTTCAGTTGTGGTACCATCATTTCGAAGAGCTCCAGTATAAAGTATCAACACTTGTAATAATTGTCGTTGCAATTGTAGTATCTTCAGCAATAGTATTAGTAACTTTGGTATTGTAGTAGTAATTTTGCTAGCTGTAGCAGTAGCTTCAGTATTTGTGGTCGTTGTAGTTGCTTTAGTATTTTGTGGTTGTGGTAGTAGTTTCAGTATTTGTGGTTGTAGTAGTAGCTTCTATTAGCGGCTGTAGTAGTAACTTCAGTGTTTGTGGTAGTAGCTTTAGTATTCATGTTCATTTATAATCTTAGCAATTTTTGTGTTTGTTGTTTTAATAGTGGTTGCAATTTAACAACAACATAAACAACATAAACAACAACATCAACAATATCATCAACAACAACAACATCAACAACAAAAACAACATCAACAACAATATCAACAACAACGACATCAACAACAGCAGTCGTATTTAGCGAAGAGATATCAGATATCTGTAATGGCATTCCCTGTGTATAAACAAATTGTGACAGAAATTTTTTTTCTTGTTTAAGTTCATTTTTCAAAATCTTAAAAAAACACATGACGCAGTTATGTTGTTGTTGTTATTGTTGGTGATGATGAAGTTGTCGTTGATGATGATGCTGTTTTTCTTTCTGCTCTAAAGTAATTATCATCATCAATCATCATCATCGTCGTCATCACACTCATCACACTCATCATCATCATCACTATTACGCCCCAGGAACAAGTTCGTTGACAATAGTGAAGAAGAATTTGAGTCCACAGCAACAGCAACAACAGCACCATAGCAGCAACAAAAACATCAGCAGATTTTCTTTCATTAAAAGACCCACAAGTTGCACAGCAGCAACAACATCATCGTCTTCATCATTTCTAACATCGCCACCACCATCATCATCATTTTTCCCATCATCATCATCATCAGCAGCAGCAGCAGCAGTAGCAGCAGCAGCAGCTGCAACATCGTCATCTACCCATCCGATAATGGAGAACGAGCACATGGATAACAATAACAGTTTCGAGCAATCGTCATCATCATCGTCACCGCCACTTCCGGCCCCATCATCATTATCATCATCGTCGCCTCCTCCACTTCTCGCGACAAATGTGACGTCATCATCAACGACCGCATCGTCGTCGTCTTCGCCGGTGAAAAACGCCAGCGTCGATATGCTGTCGCCGTCGTCGTCATCGCTGTTGTCGTCGACCTCATCTCTGTATTCGCAAGAAATTAATTCGGCCCTGTCCATTACAGAGTGTAGTTTTAAGTTAGTTGTTGTTATTGCTGCTATATATATATATATATATATATATATATATATATATATATATATATATATATATATATATATATATATATATATATATATATATATATATATACCACACACACACAAACACACACACACGCCTTCACACACATACAGACGCACACGCATACATAAAAACACACATATATATATATATTGATTTATTGTGTTCATTATTTTTTTCACTGGCTTTTAAACAGGTTATCAGAAACAAAGGAAGGATTATTTTTTTCCAAAAAAATTATATACCAAAAATACATCTAAATACCAAAAACACAACGAAATACAAAAAAGGTACAAGCCATACAAAGGAATATACATGGTAATATAGGCCCGAAATACAATATAAAACAATACAAAAACGGTACTGGATAGTAGTGTATGTATGTTTGTATGTATGTCTATGTATGTATATGTATTCAAGTGTATTTTTATTTGTTTGTTTGTTTGTATGTTTGTGTAATTGTATGTAAGCATCAAATTTGAATGGCTTATAGAGTTGAGCCTGATTTAAAGTATAGTAGCCATAATGTAATTGTTGCTTGTTTGGTTGGCTGGTTTGTTTGTTAATTTGTTTGTTTGTTTGTATGTACGTGCATGTGTTTGTTTGTATATGTATATATATATATATATATATATATATTTGTGTGTGTGTGTGTTAGTTTGAGCGCGTGTTAACTTTTTGATAATGGTTTCAGAAAAATGTTTTTCTCACACCAACATTTTTTGTAATCAAAAATTTATCATTTCTTTGCTAGATTTTTGCTTTTATATCTTCGGATCTATTTCATTTCTTTGTTTGTTTTTCTTACATTATTAATTAGTGTTTTTGATATTGCTTTCATCGTTACCACCATCATCATCGTTGTCGTCATCATCATCATCGCCATCATCATCATCATCATCATCATCGTCATCATCTACATCATCATCATCATCATCATCATCATCGTCATCATCTACATCGTCATCAGCACTACAAATCCCCATCTTTTAATAGTAATCTCCCTGAAGGATCAATATGAATCTTCCATTTCATCACCGTCATTATCTTCTTCTTCTTCTTCTTCTTCTTCTTCTTCTTCTTCTTCTTCTTATTATTATTATTATTATTGTTGTTGTTGTTGTTATTAGTGTTATGATTTTGGTTAACATTTGAAATTTTTAGCTTCTTATTTTAATCAAATTCGCCATCATCATAGTAATTATTATTTAAGAATGAACGAACGAATGAATGAGTGAATAAATGAATGAGTGAATGAATGAGTGAATGAGTGAGTGAGTGAATGAATGAATGTATGAATGAATGGACAGGCAAGTATCCATATAGATGAACGAAGGAACATACAGGAATGAACAAATGAATAAATGATCAGACGAACGAACGAACAATCAATAAACAGACGAACAAAAACATGAACGAGTGAACGAACGATGACCAAAGAAATAAATGAATGAATAAGATGGACGGACCAACTAATGGATAAATATTCACCACTTAAAGAATGTTTTGCTCATGCACTTGATCGGAACACAAGTAAACAGAGCAAAAAGCCATACAAATATACATACAAACAAACAAATATACATACAAACAAACAAACTTACATACAAACAAACATACAAACAAACAAATATACATACAAACATACAAACAAACAAATATACATAAACATACAAACAAACGCGTGCCAGCATACATTTAAATTTTCGTAAACAACCTCATATGGACGAAAAAAAAACACAACCACACAACGAAACAGATACAAAGACGTCAGAATCAACAGCAACCTCGACTTCAACACCTAACTAACATTTCAGAAAACATTAATCTCCGTTAAATTTATTTATTCGTTAATTAAATAAAAGAGCTATTAATCGTAGCCACGTACGTGTAAGGCGGAGTCATATTATCAATTAATTAGCCATGATTGGTTGATCTGTTTTTAATAATTATTTCACCATTTTCAGAATTTATTCACTCGTTCATTTTTTTTTATTAATTCATTCATTTGTTCGTTCGTTCGTTCGTTCGTTCATTCGTTCATTAATTTATACGTTCATCTATTTCTACTTTTGTTTCATTCATTTGACGTTTGGTTCATCTGGTCGTATTGCGAATATTGCGTTGGGTCGAATAATTCATTCGTTTATTCTATTCACTTATTAATATGTTTTTCGTTCATCTTTTTCTCTATCTATTCATTCATTCATTAATTTTTTCATTCATTCATTTATTCATTCATTTAGTTATTCAACTACAAAATAGCCATCAAGCCCGTTCATTTCTTTACCAATTCGTTCATTCAATTTGTTTTTCATTTCGTCTTTCATTTAATCTTTTAATTCATTCATTCATTCAGTCGTTCATTTATTTATTCGTCCAGGTTACGTCACCTGATGGACAGATTGCGGGATGAGAAGGATGGAGTGAACGTGGAGGAGTTGATGGATGGATTGAGGAATGCCTATCTTCTACTTGACGTCATCAATAATGATGAAATCAGGTAATGATGATGATGACGACAACGACAACGATTATGATGATGATGATGATGATGATGATGATGACGACGAAGATGATGATGATGATGATGACAATTTGAAATATTAATGAGATTCTCAATATCACGAAAAAACAAACGCAATATAAACAAAAACCATCATTATCATTAATAACAACAACATCATCATCATCATCGTCACCATCATCATCATCTTTGCTAACAACATCATCATCGTCGTCGTCGTCTTCATCGTCATCATCATCATCATCATTAATAACATCATCATCATCATCATCATCGCCATCATCATCATCATCATTAATAACAACAGCATCGTCGTCTTCATCGTCATCATCAACGTCAACATCATCATCATCATCAGCAGTAACCACAAAATGCCAATATGCTAACCCCACGCTAATAAAATTTTCAATATGACAAACATGATTAGAACAACAACAGCCTCAGCTACATAAGCCACAGCAGCTACAATAGCCACAGCAGCCACAGCAGCCGCTGCAGCAGCAACAACATTTTGGTGCTCTGCGTTTGAAAATTTTACGGTTCGCTCGTTTTTACAATGTACTCATTATCGGCGTTTGCACTCACAATAATAATAATAATAAAAATAATAAAAATAATAATAACATCGTCATCATCGTCATATTTTTAGTCATTCCATCACAAGCAAAGGCTTTTTACGAACTTGTACAAATTAGATTCGGCTTAGTGGTGATGACGATGACGACGAGGATGATGGTGGTGATAACGATGTTTTCAAAGATGCACGTTGTGATAATGATGACGACGACGACCATAACGATGATGATGATGATGATGATAGTAACAAAGTGAATACGGCTACATCTGCTGCTGCTGCTGATGATGGTGATGATGATGATTAGCACAAGGAAATTTTCAAAAGCGGTTGAAAAATTACACCACATACCTACAGTTTTTAGCAAAATGTATATGATCATTATGTATGTGAGCGTATTCACCATCATCATCATCATCATCAAAGCCATCATTGTCATCATCATTATCATCATCATCATCAGGAGGGCAATCATAACGGAACAGGACGAGTTCAGCCGGGTGGAAACGGATGCAGTTCCACCGGAAGTGAAGGACTGGCTCTCCATGACCTTTACCCAATCAAATAACAGTACGGCGGCAAACCGAAAGTCACGTGCTACAAGGGCGAAATTCAGGAGCGTAGCTAACTGCATAAGGGCAGGAATTATGGTGGACAAGTTAGTCTATTGTTGTTGATATTATTGTTTTTTATTATTTACATGAATATAAGCTTTCTTTATCTTATTATTATTATTATTATTACAGAATCTACAGACGCGTTGCAAACACGTCAACCGTTCAAGTTCCCACACAAATTCTCCACTATTACAAAGTCGATTAATTGGAAAATAATAATAATAATGATATTATGAATAAATAACACGAATGATATAAATGATATAAATAATGATAATAATATGAATTATGTTAGCCTGAATAATAATAGTATCAATACTATGTGTAATATTTAATTATGACGTAATTAATAATAATAATTTATCATAATTTTAATTATTTTTGTGTTCACACCGGCTAGTCGATAGATGAATGGTCATTCCAGTTACTCTCAATGAATGAAGTGTCAGATGGTCACATACTCAAATTGATCGGCCTTGAAATTCTTCAGAAATTTGACCTCGTCAACAAGTTCAAGGTCATCATTTGTTGACCTCGTGACTGTCCTCGACGTCATCGTCATCTTTGTCATCATCACGTCTTCATCATTTTCGTCACCATCACGTCTTCATCCTCTTCGTCACCATCACGTCTTCATCCTCTTCGTCACCATCACGTCTTCATCGTCTTCGTCACCATCACGTCTTCATCGTCTTCGTCACCATCACGTCTTCATCGTCTTCGTCACCATCACGTCTTCATCGTCTTCGTCACCATCACAGATCAACCTTCAGACCCTAGACAACTTCCTCTCACGTCTGGAGGTAGGCTACGGAAAACACGGAAACCCCTACCACAACGCAGTACATGCAGCTGACGTAACTCAAACAGTACACGGGGTACTTATAAGTACCGGACTGGCGGTTTGTATTGTTTTGTTTGTTCGTCTCTAAATGTTTGTATGTTTGTTTGTTTGTTCGATTGTTGGTTAATTCGTTCTTTCATTTTTTTTGTAATTCCTTAGGTTGTTCGTTAATTTGTTTAATGGGTTGTTTGCCTGATTATTAATTTATAAATTTGTCATTCATTCATTCATGCATCATTCATTCATCTATTCATTTATTTATTCATCCATTCATTCATTTATTTATTCGTTCATTCATTCGTTCATTCGTTCGTTCGTTCATTCGTTCACTCACTCCACTGACCACAGTCCTGGCTGACGGATCTTGAACTGTTGACCGTGCTGACGTCTTGCATGATCCATGACTTCGAACATACCGGGACGACAAATAATTACCACATCAACACTGCGTCTGTTGTTGTTGTTGTTGTTGTTGTGTTTGTAGTGGTTTGTTGTTGTTGTTGTTTTGTGTTTGTTGTTAATTGCTGTTGTTGTTGTGTTGCTTTTTTGTTGTTGTGTTTGTTGTTGTTGTGTTGCTTTTTTGTTGTTGTATTTGTTGTTGTTGTGTTGCTTTTTTGTTGTTGTATTGTCAGCCAATAAATTGATCCATCCATCCATCAATCAACCAATCATTCCATAAACCAGACTTTCACTCTATCAACCAACTAACCAACAAATAAACTAGCCAATCGGCTGGCTGGCTGGCTGGCCGACTAAACAACCAATCAAACAATAATTCATTTGAACCAAACAAACCAACAAAACATCTAACCAACTAACCAACCAATCAACACTCCAACCATCCATCCATCCAACCAACCAATCATCCAATCAATCAACCAACCATCCATCCAACCACCCAATCATCCAACCAACCCGCCAACCATCCATTAATCAATCAGATCAGACATAGCAATAATGTACAACGATAAATCGGTCCTTGAGAATTATCATCTGAGTGCCACCTTTCGAGTTATGAAGGATCCGGAGTTCAATCCCTTCAATAACTTGAAACCGGATGACTATAAGTAATGATGATGACGACGATGATGGTGGTGGTGATGATGTTTTTGTTGTTGATTATGATCACCAAAAATAACCACAACAAACAGAGAATTTAGAAATTTGATGATTGAAATCGTACTGGCCACGGACATGTCTTGCCACTTTCAACAGATCAAAAACATGAAATCCCTACTTTCGTCTGCTTCTGAAAAGTTTGTGGCTGTCAATCAATCAATCAATCAATCAATCAATCAATCAATCAATCAATCAATCAATCAATCAATC